AAAGGTGTACGTTTATTGAAGCTGGAAAAGAGGTGCACTCTACTGGCTGAGAGCAGGAGGGTGAACAGACTCACCGCACCCGGGATGAAGGTCTTCGGTATCCCAAATTTGGATTGGCTTCGCCCTCATACACACAGGGGATTGGAACAGTTGTTCTACCAAAAACCTCCTGGATGTTAAGGTCTTGCTTGGCTTCCTGAGGTCCAGGAAGGTTTGAAAACCACTTTTCTGATGGTCCCTGCAACAGCACTGGATTCAAAGAAGAGACTGAAAAGAATACTTTCTGCTGGGTTCCCCAGGCAGTGCTCAGGGCGGAGCAGTCATTTTGGTTGTCCCAGCCCTAATCTCTCACCTCATGATGACCACAACCTACAGATGGTCCTGGAGAAGCAGAGGATGAGGTGTGGTCAGAGGCAACCGGCCAGAAGTTAGGTCACTTAGGTCGCTGAGCCAAGGGACACCTGAGGGTGAGGGCTCCCTGGTGACACCTGCAGATACTAGAACAGAGAAAGGCTGGGTTCTCACAGTGGTGACACTCAGGGGCTGTCACCAGGCTAAAACTGCTCTAGCCTGGAACGATCCTTTCTATTTTTCTCTTCCTCAGCCCTGTAGGAGCACAAAATGAAAAGCATCAAGGAAAAGATAGAATAGGACTAAAAGGTGGGCAAGAATTTTTGAACTATACAAGAATGGGATTTTTGACATGGTATTGGACAAGATTTTTTTTTTTTTGGTCTGGTACTGGGGATTGAACCTGAGGCCTTTATGGTGAGCTACCTCCTCAGCCCTTTTCAAACTCTTTAGTTTTATTTTTGGTTTTTTGAGTTTTTTTGTTTTTGTTTTGGTACTGGGGATGGAACTCAGGTCCTTGAGCTTGTGCAGCAGGCAGCAAAACCAATGAGCTAAATCCCTGGCCAAAGTTGTTTTGTGTTGTTAAGACAGGGTCTCACTACATATTCCAGGCAGGTCTTGAATTCATTGAATAGCCCAGGATGCCCTTAAATTTACAGCCATTGTCCTGGCTCAGCCTCCCAGGTCCTGGGATTATGGGTAGATGTGTGCCACTACATCCAGCTTGAATTTTTAAATTTTGAGACAGGGTCTCACTAAGTCGCTATGTTGCCCAGTCTGGGTTCAAACTTGTGATCCTCCTGCCTCTGCCTTCCAGAGCACTGGGATTACAAGCATGCGCTCAGGATTATTTTTATGGGGAGGAGACCATTTATTTATTACTGGAACAGGACTGGAGGGCTTATAAATTATGTGGTGAGACTGGAAAAGCTAAAGCCTCTGCCTAAGATTTTTGTTCTAGGAGCAGAAAGGGATCCTCAGAGATTTTCAGGACCCTGAGAAACCATTGCATGCTTCACCCCCTCCCCCAAACTGGGTGTGGTGGCACACATCCATAATTCCAGCACTCAGGAAGCTAGGGCAGGACAATCAAATGCAGATCAAAATGTCTCAGCATCAAAATTCATATTCTGGGGCCTTGGATTTAGCTCAGTGGTTCTGGCGCCTGCCTCGCAAGCGCAAGGACCTGAGTTTGATCCCAGGTACCAAAAAAAAAAAAAAATTCTTATTTTGAGCAGGCCCAGTGGTGTGCACCTGTCATCCCAGCTAGGAAGCTGAGGAAGGATGATTCCTTGAACTCAGAGGTTTGGGCCCAGCCTGAACAACACAGCAAGACTCAGTCTCTTATTTTTTTATTCAGTTTTAAAAGATTTTTTGATGGTACTGGGGATTTAATCTAGGTTCTTCCATGTGCTAAGCACAAGCTCTACCACTAAGCTCCACCCTAAGGACCCCCTCTTTAAAAATGTGTACTTTGAGGGCTGGGGATTTAGCTCAGTGGTTCTGGCGCCTGCCTCGAAAAGCGCAAGGTCCTGAGTTTGATCCCCAGTACCAAAAAAAAAAAAGGTATTTGTTTTGATATAACCACTCAATTATCTTCCTTCCATCCTCTTTCTCTCCTTCCTTCTTTTTTTCGTGAGACACAGTCTTGGTATGTATTCCCAGGCTGGCCTTGAACTCAAGATGATCCTCATGCCTCCGCCTCCTCTGGGGTGCTATGACTACAGGCATTCGGCACCATGCCCAGCCATTCTCCCTCTTTCTACTTCCCCTTTTCTCTTCCCTATCTTCCTTCCCTTTATTTCTTCCACTTTTTCTTCTCCCTGATTTCGGAGAGCCTTCAGGATCTAGTCCGATGCATGACTCTGGGACGTACAGTTCCCATCATATTTTCCACAAATGGCCCCTCTAGAATTCTACTGCAGCTCAGGAGCCTGCGCACCGTGGAATGAAGCTCTTCCCTCTGAGAGGAAGAGCTGTTGGTTCATTTCTCAATGATAGTGCATTCCCTGATAGTCCATCAGGAGATAGTGTTGAGAAAGGATGAAGTGTTGTGGAGTGAGGATAGAGTGTTCAAAGCAAGTGCGCAGCTGAGAAAGGGGATGGTGAGGATCTGTGGCAGAGGCCTGCACTGGGTCAGCGGCATTTGCTTGGTGAGGACTGTTCCCCTGCAGGAAGGTGACCTGGGCCTACATCCTCGGGAGAGGTTTCCGTCTTGGCTGCTTTGAACAGCCACTGAAGGTGCCCTGAGCCCCTCCAGGACACGCAGGCCGGAGGAGGGAGGACTGCATGTTTCAGAGCACTGTAAGGTAGGCATTTCTCTGATACATTTTCAATGCAGAATTCCCAGAGATGACTTTTCCTGTTTGTTTTCTTTTTTTGTTTGTTTTGTTTTTGATTTTTGTTGTTGTTTTCTTACTTGTGGAAAGACATATATTCTGGCTGGGGATTTAGCTCAGTGGTGCTGCCGCCTGCCTCGCAAGCTCAAGGTCTTGCTTTCGATCCCCAGTACCAAAAAAAAGAAATACATATATCTTGGTGGGAATGGTGGCGCACACCGGTAATCCCAGTGCTCTAGGGAGGGTGAGGCAGAAGGATTGTGTGTGAATTCCAGGCTAGCCTGGGATACAAAGTGAGTTCAAGGCCAGCTTGAACTCCATAGCAAGACCCTGCCCCAACAAAATAAAACAAAACAAAAATACCTGTAGCTTATATACATATGAGCCCTTCATCAGTTACATATGTTTCAAATAGCTTCTCTTTTCCAGCTTGACATTTCATTTCTTAGTAGTCTTTTGATGGAGAAATGAGTTTGATAGGTGACACAATTTTTGGCAGCAAAATTGCTTAATGATGGAAACATTTCCAAGCTCCATTTTTCAAAATGTTCTCTCCAATACACAGGTCTTTCAAATGCAATTACAGTGGACCCTCAAGTCACGACCGGCCTGACGTATGATCGGCCTGACATATAAACAACTTGGGATAATGGGAGATTCATTTGCCTCTTGTTATCTATAGCTCATACCCAGGTAAACATCCAGATCTCAGCTGTATTGACTTTCAATCAACTTGAGTTATGACCAGGCCCTGGGAACCAATTGAGTTCGTAAGTCAAGCGTCCATTGTAGTTTCTTACTCATTAAAAAAATGTTCCTTTTAGTGGATGTGATGATGCACAGTCATCTCAGCATTCCAGGAGGCTGAAACAAGAGGACTGCAAATTTGAGCCTAGTGACTTTAGAAAGAGCTGAAGATGTAGCTCAGTGCAAAGGCCCTGGGGTTCAACTCCTAGTTAATTCCTCCATGCCCTTTTCTCTGAAGCCAGACTAAATATATGCATTAAAATTATTTTTTTGTTAGGTAGCTTATTGCTAACCATCATGGTTTCCTACTCCTTTAATCCTTCACTCCACATCACAAGTCAGAAAATTAAATTTAGAACACTTGTCATTTTTCAAGCAAATCTATAAAACCGATTTAGGCCACAGAGTTCTTCAGTACTTTGCTGTAAGACATCAAGGAACAGATGCTTTTCATGATATACCTTCCTTTCTCCTCCCTCCCTCCCTCCCTCCTTTCTTTCTTTTTTGCGGTACTGGGGATTGAACTTAGGACCTTGCACTTGCAAGGCAGGCCACTGAGCTAAACCCACAGTCCTATATGCCCTTATTTCTAAGAGGAACTCAGCATTGTATAATTATTTAAAACATTTCGGTGCTTATTAAAATAAAAAAAAGTTATATTGCTTGTAACATGCAAAATGCAAGATTTTGAAATAGGCTGAAAAACAAGAGAAAAGTGGTGACACCTGGAGTACCAGCCAAACTATAAAACCTCCATCCTGTCTCCGTGCACCCAGAGCGGGCGTTCATTTGTGGGGCCCTACAAAGAATGTTGTATCATTGCAGCTTCTTTCACTTTTACCGTAAAAATAAACATAAGTAGATGCGCCTATGGTTTCCATCTGTTCCTTACGGAGTCTGAACGTCTTGGACAGGACTTGGACACAGGCACCCATATTGACAACAAGGAGTCAAGTAATCAGATTGCAACTGGCAATAAAACTGTTAGCCTGACGGTTTTTATTCATACATTCTAAAATCAATCGCATGCATTCTAAGTTACACAATAAGAAGGCAAGTCTCTCCCAGTGTTCTAGGCTCCAAGCCGATACTAAGGTTTCAATAAATATGTCATTTGATCTTCTTGATTTTGGCTTAGGGAAAAATGGTAGAGATGACTTTCTTCTTTGCATATATAGAAAAAAGAAACAATTGCTTCCAGAGAATCTAGGTCCTGAAGAGGAGGGATTACAGAGCTGAACTGAGCTAAATCTTGCACAAGGTCGGAAACCTGATGCCTTTCAGTAGCCAATCTTAAAATACAATCTGTAAAGCATTGAAAAAAGGACCTGGTTAGAGTGCGACTGTTAGAAGAACGAGAAAATAGCGTGAAAACTAAAAATGCTCTAAGCCTTAAACCCTTGTATCTGGAAGGCCGGGTTACAGCTGGCCACCTGCGCAGGCGGGCGGCGAGCGCAGCCCCGCTTCGCGTCTGGCCTGGCTCGGAGGCCCCTCCCCTCCCCGCCCCGCCCCGCCTCGCCTCGCCTCGCCTCGCCTCGCCTCGCCTTCCCGAGACGCCTGCGGCGGCCTTTGAGACACCGGAAGCAGCTGGGGCTGCTGCGGGAAGTGGCCGGCTCCGGAGGCGGGGACCCTGCGGGCAGTGCCGCGGACCCATTTTCCGGCGCCCCTGGCGCTACTCGCCTCCTCTCCCTGGCCAGGAGAGCAGAGCGGAGTTTGTGGCGCCTCGGCCGCAGGCCACGGTGGGCCGCGCTGGCGGGGCCCGCGGGAGAGGCCGAGGAGGTGAGGCGGCGGCTACTCGCCCGCGTCCGTCAGGCAGGCGCCGTGCCGCTCAGTACGCCGGGGCTGCGGCGGCCTCGGCTCTTTTGGTCCGGGGTAGCAGAGGGCGCGCGCGGAGGGCGGGGAACGAAGGCCGCAGCTCCTCAGCGTGAGCGCTGCAGAAGCGACATGGGGCTGGGGGCTGGGTGGGGCTGAGGCGGGGTCCCCGGGACGCGTACGGGGACCCGGGTCCTTGGGCCGTAGACGCCGGATGGCCCGCAGTGCGACGGCCGCGCGCTCTCCTTCGCTTTGCGGCACGGTTGGGCGGCCCCGTTATTCATTGTCAAGCACTGGAAAACCGAGGTGTCATCGCCCCTGGAAATTTTCTTTGATCGATGTTCAGTTTCAGTCCCGTCCTGCTGTCTGTCCACCCGCAGCTTTTGCTCTGACTGAATTTGCGGACTCTGGTTTCCCACACCTTTACTCTCACATATTTTTCGCTCTTCATTTGGATATTTACATGTGCAAGTTGAGCTGTTGGACAATAAGATTTACTTTTTTCTAGATGTTCTGTGTTAATTTAAGTATTTTTGAGGTTCACCCCCTATAGTCAGGATTGGGCCTGGAAAGTTGAGCTAGAACGTGCATTCTTGGAGGACCTTAGAGACTAAATGAGGGTGAATTTTCCTACAGGGATCGCCAGACTTCTTCGGAGAAATGTGGAATTCTGAAATCACCGGATTATTTTTCTTTTAAGTAAAATCTGTTACTAAAAGTAATGAGGCCAACCTAGTTCCATTTCTCGATACACTTGTATCCTCTGGAAGGTCTGATCAGATCATTTGATCTTAGGCTATTTGATTTGAACTCCGTACAGATACTGTTCGTGAATTCATACCGTTAATTCAGGTAAAGGGAAAGATAGCAATCTTATTGAAAGACAGAGTCAATTTTAAGAAAAAGGAATAGTTATTCTGTCCTGGCAGTTTTAAGTTATTTCATTTACTTTGGCAGGATTGGTAAAAAGACAGTACAAAAATATTCCTGAAATGAAATAGTCGACCTGCTGTGTGCAGGAGGGATACTCTACTTAAGATTGGTTCTTATTTTTGATCTAGTTTATTGGCAATTTTAACTTAATTTTGAACTCTTGATTTTGATTTTCTTTTTTGCACTCTTTATAACCTACCAATAAACATGTTTTTACATAACTGCAGTTTAATAGTAATAGTAAATAGGTGAGCTAAAATTTGGAGTTAAGGAGATTGTAATTCTTACATTTCTGTATTGCCATTAGAGTTTTCAGTGACCTTTCTCCTGCATAATCTTATTTGATCTTCATACCAGTCCTCCAAGGAATGCCAGGAATAAAGTCTTTCCCCATTTCAAGATTGTGTAAGAATCAGAATTTCCTTATAGCCTGAAATAATGTTGCCAAAGCAGCCTTTGATACAAATTTAAATTCAGATAGGTTAAGATGAGAGTGGGCCAGGGATGCAGCTCAGCAGTACAGCGCCTGCCTGGCAAGTGCGAGGCCCTGAGTTCCATTCCTGGTACAAAAAAAAGATTGGAGTGCATGACCTATAACAGGACAGACCTGACTCTGCAACCAAATGAATTATGTAAAATGCTGAAAAATTTTTGGTGAGAAATGTAAATTGTCATTGTTAAGAAAAGAGTAGGGCCCCAGTTCGATCCCCAGTACCCCCCCCCCCAAGTAAGTAACAGCTCTGTAGTTTTATTTAAATTTTCTTTTTCTTTTTGTTGTTTTGAGACATGGCCTCACTATGTAGCTAAGACTGGCCTTGAATGCTCATCGATCCTCCTGCCTCAGCCTCCCAAGTGCTGGGATTACAGGCGTGAGCTGCCATGCTCATTTCTCTTTAGTGTAGTTTTAAAAGTTTTTTAAAGTCCGTGTGTGATTGCCAGAGCATTTTGCTAAGCAGGAATGTTGCAGAGTCTGATCAAAATACAGTTGGTTTCACTGTCTGTAGGAAGGCCTGCATGAATTCTGTGTGGAATTGACTTGTAGTCAAGTAGGATAGTTTCGTTTATTTATTTGGGTGTCAGGGATCGAATTCAGGACCTTGTGCTTTTGAGGCAGGCAGCAGCACCGCTGAGCTAAATCCCTGGCCCTGTTTATTGTTTTTTTTTTCTAAACAACTACAGTAAGTGCCTTAGGGTGTTAAATTCTTTAAGAGTTAGGTGAGGGAGCTGTTTGTGGTGGTTGGGGCTTGGTGGAGATGGTGGTATGAGGTAAAAGAGGCCTGAAAGATGCTCAACAGGTGATTGCTGGAGGACACCATCCCTCTTGTTTGTTTATCCCCAGGCCCTGCCCTCCCCCACACCACTGACCTGGAGCACATTTCTAGTGTGATTGATGAAAATGGGTTTCTGGAAAGGTACAAATTATATTTCAGAAAGGATCAGTGGAAGAATTTGTCTGATAGTGATTTATGATTAATAGAGAAGACAAATTATGAAAGACTGCATTGAAAGTATTTGGTCAGAAGAGGTATGGGGTTCATATGAATGCAAAATGAACTTTATTCTTTTTTTTAAGTATTTAAAAAATTAATTTTATCATTACATTTTAGGTATATACAGTATAATGACATTCATCATTGGAAATTTGTACCTTTACGTAATCTATCTTGCTTCTTATTATTTCCCCATTCCCCTGCCCTCCCTTCAACCCCTCCACCCCTCCCTATTTTTTCATTTTCTCATACTAATTCCATGCAAAATGAACTTTAACTGGAATAGAGACTGCAAGATTACTTGGGTGGCTTTAGGTTAAGCTAGATCCTGGCAACATTACTTTTATTAACATGAATTAATGGTGCATATTGTGGGGTTTATTGTGATATTTCAATACGTGTATGTAGCAGACAGCATTGCTGTCTGGGGGCTCTCTGAAGTGTATCTTAAACTCAGATCATAGGGAGAGAATAGGAGACAGGCATGGTGGTGCATGACTGTAATCCTTGCACTTAAGAGGCTGAGGCAGGAGGATCACTGAGTTTGAGGCCAGACTGGGCTAAATAGTGAGAACCTGTCTCAAAAAACAAACAAAAAAAGATGACAACATGGGTGTAGGTAAAATGTGCCAGGAAGCATAAGTGAAGGAATGAGTTGAGTAGAGTCACAGGAAGGAAAAAGCCAACAGTAGATGGGCAATTGAAGGGTTAATGGTGTGGAAATTTTGTGTAACTGCCTCAGAATTATCCTAACAGAGCTCTGGTGTTTTTCTTCCTCCCCTTATCCCCCACTGATTGAGATTTCCCCTTAAATGCTCCCCAAACTCCCCAGCTGCCCTGGGTAGGATCAGGCAAGCTTCAGAGGGGCTGGAGAACTTAGCTGAGAAGCTGAGCACTGTGTGAAGTGGGAAGCTGTGCATACCAGCTACAAGTCAAAACTGAGGGGAGCACAGGGGCAGGAGGCCAGGTAGCAACCGTGTCTGCTAACAGGCTTTCTCATTGAATGATCCAGATGAGAAATTAAGGCCCCGATTTAGCAGGTGACCTAGAAGTTGAAAAGAAGTGAAAAAAGTAGAGGAGTTTTGCAGCTGACAGGAAGTAAGGACGAAATCGAAGATGATGCTGAGGTTTGAAAGTCTGTGATAGAGTACTTGACAGTTGATCATTGATTGGCTTCCAAATTAAGTGTTTCAGGAGGGAAAGAATTAGTGGCAATAGAGTGGAGCGCTAATGACGAGTCATTCACAAGGGAGAGTAGGGGAGATTTGAACAGTGCCACCAACTTGGATAATACATTCCCATACTTGATTGTAAGTTAGTCTCCTGTATTGTTATATTAGTCTCTATTCTGTCAGTCTCTGTACTTCCAGGGCTCAGCAGTCCTGAAAGACAGTGGTATAGTGAAAATACGTATTGAAGAAAAAGACCATTTCTTATAGTTCGTAACTGTTTATAAAATCTTGAAAAAAAAATTTAATTAATTAATTAATTAATTAATTTGAGACAGAGTCTCACTTTGTAGTTCAGGCTGGCCTTGAACTCATTATGTAGCTCAAGCTGGCCTTCAACTTGTGGCCATCCTCCTGCCGCAGCCTCTCCTGAGTGCTGGGATTATAGGCATGAAGAATTTTAAATATTTTTGGTGTTGTTATTTAGATAAATAAAGTTTCATTACTAATATTATATTGCATTACTAATATTTTAGTCCAGTAAACAAAAAAGGTTGACAGTTTTTTTAAAAAGTGCTTTTCATTTTAATATGGTGGTTGCATACATTTCTGTGTTTCTATGTGGTCTACATAGGTGTTTTTTTTTGGTACTGGGGATTGAACTCAGGATCTTGCCCTTGAGAGGCAGGCAGCAGAACCACTGAGCTAAATCCCTGGCCCTACGTAGGTGTTTTTAATAACTGTCCTTGATGATAGTGTGTTGTTATTAACCCTTGGTCTTACACAGCAATAAGGTGGAAATTACCATCAGCATATTTGAGCCTTTTTATTCATTCATTCATTCATATTTTTGTCCTTTCTCTAATGTGTGCCACAATTATTTCACCTAGATAAGAATTGACCATATTTTATCATTCACTGGATAGGTTTTTTTTTCTTCTTTTTGGTACCGGGCATAGAACTTGGGACCTTGTGTTTTCAAGGCAGGCAGCAGCAGAATCACAGCTAAATCCTCCGCAGATTTTTTTTTTTTATTAATGGACAGATATTTTTGGTAGGAAATGCGAATTAATGTTTATAAATCTCAAAGGATTTTATGTGGAGTAGAGGTGGCCGTTTTAGAGCTGTCCTTTAGCATAATTAACTATGGCAGTGTTAAGAATAGATTCTTGAACAGAGCAGTTTGCCCATAGAGAAATCACCTAGGAGCCAAGAGTTTGAAGCCAGCCTGGGCTACATAGTGAGTTCAAGGGCAGTCTGAATTACAAAGCAAGACGCTGTCTCAAACCACCCCCCCCAAAAAAAACAAACCCAAAATCATCTAGGAGACTATATAGTTCTTTTAATGGATGTAAAGCTCTTATTAATTAGACTT